CTCTTGTGAGCCGGCGTGAAGAGCTGAAGCTCGAGTCCGCGGAGGAGAAACCAGACGAAGGTCGACGGACTCGAGCCGGGGGACTCTCTGTTGTGTGCTGACGGTGACGTTTGTGTTTCAGGCGCAGAAAGTGTCGGACGACCTGCTGCAGAAGATCGTCTCCAAGAACCGCCGCGCTCTCGACCTGGTCGCCGCCAAGTGCTACTATTACCACGCCCGAGTGTACGAGTTCCAGAACCAGCTCGACATCATCCGCAGGTACGTACACACCTTTCTCCTTCCCTGATGACATCACACCCTCAGACAAGCAGTCACACGACTGTCCCCCCCCCCCCAGCTTCCTGCACACACGCCTGCGCACGGCGACCCTGCGGCACGACGCCGACGGGCAGGCGGTGCTGCTGAACCTGCTGCTGAGGAACTACCTGCACTTCAACCTGTACGACCAGGCCGAGAAGCTCGTGTCCAAGTCCGTGTTCCCCGAGCTCGCCAACAACAACGAGTGGGCGCGATACCTCTACTACACAGGTGAGCTCACAGCCGCGGCGCTCAGGCGAGTCCCCGCCATGACGCCGCGCTCACCCGCCTGTCATGTGACCCACACAGGTCGTATTAAAGCCATCCAGCTGGAGTACTCGGAGGCTCGCAGGACTCTGACCAACGCTCTGAGGAAGGCTCCACAGCACACCGCCGTGGGCTTCAAACAGACGGTACGCACACACACACACGCACACGCGGTCAGGTATCGTATCTGGTATTGATCACTGAAGCATCGATCGCTCCGGTTCAGGTCCACAAGCTGCTGATCGTGGTGGAGCTGCTGCTGGGAGAGATTCCCGACCGCCTGCAGTTCAGACAGCCGTCACTCAAACGCTCCCTGATGCCCTACTTCCTGCTCACACAGGGTCAGTGTCACACACACGCCTGATCATGTGACTCGTAGAGTTATGGCGAAACGATGGGTTCTGATTGGAGGAACAATGTGTACTTACCTTCAGATACTCGCAGCTTCCCATGAGCCTCTCTGTTCACTTCCTGTTTCTGTGTGCAGCTGTGAGGACAGGTAACCTGGCCAAGTTTAACCAGGTGTTGGAGCAGTTTGGCGAGAAGTTCCAGGCCGACGGGACGTACACGCTCATCATCCGCCTGAGACACAACGTCATCAAGACCGGTGAGCCAATCGTACGCCGCCGTCAGACAGCGCGCTGCTCGTCAGCCGCGCTCAGTGTGTCACTGATCTGTGTGTGTGCAGGTGTGCGTATGATCAGCCTCTCGTACTCTCGGATCTCCCTCGCCGACATCGCTCAGAAGCTGCAGCTCGACAGCCCCGAGGACGCCGAGTTCATCGTCGCCAAGGTAAACAGACGCGTTCAGCGCCGCCTTTTTAACGCCGACCTCGTGACCTCTGCGTGACCTCTGCGTGTTTGTGTCACAGGCGATCCGTGACGGCGTGATCGAGGCCAGCATCAACCACGAGAAAGGCTTCGTCCAGTCCAAGGAGACCATGGACATCTACGGGACCCGAGAGCCTCAGCTGGCGTTCCACCAGAGGATCTCCTTCTGCCTCGACATCCACAACATGTCGGTCAAGGTGAGCGCACCTGAACACACACCTCTCACACACAAGGACTCAAGGTCAACACAAGAATGTGACATCACAAAAGCTCCGCCCACAGACTGCTCTGCATCACCATAACGCTGCGAGCTCTGTCACTTCCTGTCGGCAGAGGTCTGACTGGAAGCCTTCTTGTCAAATCTGTGGAAGCAGCTTCTTCCTCCTGCTCCTCCTCCTCACATTAAAGCAGATTGAGGAGGTGGAGGTGGAGGTGGAGGTGGAGGACCCGGGATCCGCTCGGTTACACAACGTCAGACTTAAGAGTCGATCAGGGAGGAGCGATCACCCCGATGCTAATCTCCCTCTGTCCTCCTGCAGGCCATGAGGTTTCCTCCCAAAGCGTACAACAAGGACCTGGAGTCTGCAGAGGTAACACGCACGCACACACACACACACACACACACACAACACGTGATGTCATGTCTTTAATTGACCACATGGTGGCAGCGTGTGACTGTAGCTTACGCAGAGACAAATCAGAATAAAATAATAAAGATGCACTTCCTGTCATCTGCATTCAATCTGTTTTTTCTGTGTGTGTGTGTGTGTGTGTGTGTGTGTGTGTGTG